AGAGCCATGGTTACGTTGTTCCACGATATGATGCACAGGGATATAGAAGTGTACGTGGATGATATGATTGCCAAATCACAAACTGGAGAAGAACATGTAAAGGTCTTAAGGAAACTATTTCTAAGATTAAAGAAATACCAGCTCAAGCTTAACCCGGCCAAGTGCATTTGGAGCTACTTCAGGGAAGTTATTGGGATTTGTAGTCAGTGAGAATGGGATAGAAATAGATCCTGATAAAGTCAAAGCAATTTGGAATTACCTCCCCCTAGAACGCAAAAGGAAGTACGAGGTTTTCTGGGAAGGTTAAATTATATTGCCAGATTCATCTCTCAGTTGACCGAGAAATGTGATCCAATATTCCGATTACTGAGAAAGCAAAACCAGGAGAATGGGATGATAGTTGCCAAGAATGCTTCGATAGAATTAAGAGTTACTTAATTACTGCTCCTGTCTTGATGCCACCAATCCCAAACAAACCATTGATTTTATATTTGACTGTCTTTGAGAAGTCAATGGGATGTGTGTTGGCCCAACATGACGAAGCTGGAAGAAGAGAACGAGCTATTTACTATCTCAGTAAGAAATTCACTGACTGTGAGACTTGATACTCCCATCGAAAAGCTGTGTTGTGCTTTGGTATGGACTAAGAGGCTGAGACAATATTTGTTGTATCATACTACCTGGTTGATATCAAGACTGGATCCGTTAAAGTACCTGATGGAATCAACGGCTCTAACTGGAAGGATGGCGAGATGGCAAATGTTGTTGTCCGAATTTGATATAGTCTACATGAACCAGAAATCAGTTAAAGGAAGTGCTATTGCAGATTTCCTGGCAAGCAGAGCGTTAGAAGACTATGAGCCAGTAAAATTTGATTTTCCGAATGAGGACTTGATGAGTATATTTGTTACTGAAGAAGATACTCCGAAAAATGAAGCATGCTATGAGCCAGTAAAATTTGATTTTCCGAATGAGGACTTGATGATATTTGTTACTGAAGAAGATACTCCGAAAAATGAAGCATGGAAAATGAACTTCGATGGCGCTTCTAATGCTGTGGGACATGGAATTGGGGCAATACTAGTTTCACCTGAGGGAGATCATTATCCTTGTACTAGTAGGCTCGCCTTTGAATGCATAACAATATGGCAGAGTATGAAGCATGTATCTTGGGTATTCAAGCTGCATTGAGCGCAAAGTTAGAAGCCTAGAAGTATTCGGCGATTCTGCTCTGGTTATTTATCAGCTTCGTGGGGAATGGATGACTCGAGACTCCAAGTTGATAGAGTACAAGAACTTAGTGATGGAGTTGATCAAAGAGTTTGAAGAAATTTCTTTTGCTATCTTCCTCGTGAAGAAAATCAAATGGCAGATGCCTTGGCTACGTTGGCAGCTATGTTTAAGGCCGATGATCAATTCGAATGATGCCTATTCGGATGAGTATAAGAGAAATGCCAGCTCATTGTTGCAACATAGAGGAAGAGAAGATGATAATCTCCCATGGTATTATGATATTCTCCAATACGTAAAGTATCGGGCTTACCGGCAGAGGCAGCGGAGAATGATAAACGGACCTTAGAAGATTAGCAATGGGTAGTCCTTGATGGAGATATATTGTATAAAAAGGGCAAGGATCAGGTGCTTTTGAGATGTGTGGATAGAATCGAGGCCAAGAAATACTTGAGGAAGTCCATGAAGGAGTTTGTGGAACATGCTAATGGATTCACAATGGTTAGAAAAATCATGAGGTTTGGGTACTATTGGTCCACTATGGAAGGAGATTGTATCAGATTTGCGAAGATGTCATAAATGCCAGATTCATGATAACCAAATACATGTTCCTCCTTCACCACTCCATGTAATGAACGCACCTTGGCCGTTTCAATGGGGGCATCGATGTCATTGGGGCAATTTCACCGAAGGCCTCAAATGGACATCGTTTTATCTTAGTGGCTATAGACTACTTCACCAAATGGGTTGAAGCTGCCTCTTATGCTAATGTCACAAAAGGACAGTGTGCAGATTTCTAAAAGAGAAATCATTTGTAGATATGGAACACCTGAAAGGATCATCACAGATAATGCATTGAATTTGAACAACGATTTAATGAAGGAAGTTTGCACAAAGTTAAAGATCAAACATCACAATTCGGCTCTTATCGCCCAAAAATGAATGGGGCAGTAGAGGCAGCGAATAAAAACATCAAGAAGATCATCACAAAAGCAACTGAAACATATAGAGACTGGCATGAAAAATTACCTTTTGCGTTGCTTGCTTATCGCACGTCCGTTCGTACATCTACTGGGGCAACCCATTCTCTTTGGTATATGGGATGGAAGCAGTTTTACCTGTTGAGGTGGAAATACCTTCTTTGAGAGTATTGATGGAGTTGAAACTGGACGAGGCTGATTGGGTACAAAGTAGGTTTGATCAATTAAATTTGATTGAGGAAAAAAGGCTGAGAGCTATCTGCCATGGCCAAATGTACCAGAAAAGGATGATACGAGCCTATGACAAGAAAGTCAGACCTCGAGAATTTCGTGAAGGTGATTGGTACTAAAAAAGATCCTACCTATGCAAAAGACTTTCGAGGGAAGTGGATGCCGAACTGGGAAGGTCCCTATGTTGTAAAAAAGGCATTCTCAGGAGGAGCTTTGGGTGTTAACAGAAATGGATGGAGAAGATTTGCCTAATCCCGTGAATTCAGATTCGGTCAAGCGATATTACACTTAAAAAAATGATGGAAAAAAAAATGAAATGAAAAATGAAAAAGAAAGAAAAAATAATAAAGGAGGGTTCAAATGAAACCCAAAATGGGCATCTTGAAACCAAAGGAGGATTCGAGTTGAAAATCCGTAATGGACGGCTCGAATATCAGAAATTGAAATGGTGGATTCCTCGGAAGCCTAACGGTTTAGGGAAAGACTCTCATGCTCACACATCTTTTGTACGATCTGAATCTTCGAAACAATGTCAACTTTCGAGAAAGACTTTACTCTGAAAAGTGTCAGATTATGGGGATTTTGAAACAGGTGTTCACAGAGAACACATGCAAAGGCACGCTCCCATCAATCATCAAACAAATCATTGAGGAAAAAGAGGGTTTAAATCAAAGAAATCAGTTTCAACTAATCATACTGTTCCCAAGCAAAGAAGTCCCAATTTAAAGGCATGTAACAAGGAGAGTCCATTCTGAATGAATTTTCTCTGAAAAATCAATCAATGACCAAAGAATCAAAGATGCAAGATAACTCTCTCGGGGTAGATCAGAAGGACCAAGTCAAAGAATATTTAATGAGAGGTCAAGAAAGTAACCAGGCATGGATAAATGCATAAATCGCATGTGTTTGATCAAAGAGTATGAGAGAGTCTCAATGCCAGAACGAACTGAGCATAACCTTTAAACATGCATTAGATCATTCTTAGAGCATATTGATAACATGAAATCTGGCATATAACCATTTTTACAGGATCTTCAAGACTTATTGAAGCAATGAATCAGTCAACATCAACTGACGGACTTCCTCATCACGTAGGAGCCGTGTCAACATTAGGATAACCAGTCGTCCTCATCACGTAGGAACCGAGTTATCACCCTTCCTAAAGATGGCCAGAGTTTTCATCATGTATGAACCGTGTCATCCCCCGGACCAGATCTCTTCATCACGTATGAGCCGTGTCAACCATAGATAACCAGCCGTCCTCATCACGTAGGAACGTGTTATCACCTTTAGATGGCCAGATCTCTTCATCACGTAAGAGCCGTGTCAACCTGATAACCAGCCGTCCTCATCACGTAGGAACCGAGTTATCACCCTTCCTAAAGATGACCAGATTTCCTCATCACGTAGGAGCCGTGTCACCCTTAGACGACCAGACCTCTTCATTGCGTACGAGCAGTGTCGTCCCCACCAACAAAATTATCCATTTTTTAAACCAAAAGGAGGAGGACAGACAAAACGTGTTTTCTTGTCGTCTTTGCCCTATTCTTGTTAACACAAGAATGTGCAAAGAGGGGCAGCTGTGGACACCCGTTTTGTCCGGGTTTTTTTTTACCGTTATTTATTATTATTATATTATCGTTATTTTTATTTAAAATTAATACATGTATTTTTGCAGGCCAAATTAAGGCCTGATTACAATTGGCCCCAGAGACCGGGAGCCCAACAACCATCAGATTAGGGTTTCAACCCTAAATCAGTTAGGGTTTCAAACCCTAAATCAGTTTAGGGTTTCAAACCCTAATCCCCTAACTACACAGCCGCCGCCCAAGCCAGAATCCAATCCCTCAGCCGCACGTTGATCTTCACCAGTCATGCCTGAGCCGCGTGAGCAACGTGAGCCAATCACCGAGCCACCAAGCCGAGGTTGTCCCGTCGGCCGACTGCTCTCCTGCTATGAACAGGACCCAATCAAATAACAGTGGCCTAACTTACCCCAAATCTAAAAAAAAACCCATTAGAATAGCATCCTAAAATCCCGAAAAATCTGGATTTTATTCACCCAATCAGAGAAATCAAATCCTATCTACCTAGATATCATCATCATCTCACCAGGAATCCAGAGAAAGCAAAGATAAAAGAAGCCAGGGAAACGAAAGAAAAAAAGAAAAAAAAAACCAGAGGAGACAGAGGGAATTCGAAACAAAAAAAAACAGAAGAAAAAGGGGAGAAAAGAAAAAAGTTTTACCTTCTCTAACCCCACCGTGGATCTCTCTGTGACCTTCTCGATCCCAGCTAGCCCCATTTCTGAAGGTAAAGCCTTTGTTTTTTTCTGGTTTTGGGGGGAAGTCCGGTTGGGTGGTAAGGGTGGGTTGTGGGTTGGGTTCTAGAGGTTGGGTTTTCAAAGGAGAGGTCGTTAGTGGGGGATAGTTGATCGGTTTAGGTTTAGTGGCCACTGATTAGCGGTGGCAGGAGGCTTGGTCGCCTCCCATGGCGGTGAGCCGAGGGAGAGTTCTCTCCACGGGTTTGGGTCTGCGGCTGAGGAAATGAGGGGGAGAGTAAATGATTTTAGGGTTTTAATATAACCCTTAAAAAGGGTTATATTTCAGACATCGAGCGACGTCGTTTGAGGCATGAGTGAGGCCGAGTGGTGGGGATTAAGGGCTAATAGCCCATTTGGTCCTCTTACCTCTGTAATCTTGCACGCGTATCCTTATAGTTTATGGGGTAACAACAGTTTAGGTCCTGCAGCTTATGTAATGGTTGTAATCTTGCCACTTTAATGAAATTTCCATTTCATTTTGAGCTTTTATTTTATTTTTGTTACATTTCGTCATATTTGCTATTAAACATTTTTGTGGTTATATTTGTGCTTCAGCCATCAAACTTTAATTTATTTATACATGTGCAGTATAGTTTATTTGTTGGTTCATTTTAGTCACTATTACTATGTAAAAGAAATACATGTTTTTATTCTGTTTATAATCCATGTATTTTGATTCTGAAGGCATTTTGATCACTACTTTTATATATTGGGTTAAATGCTGAATATGGCTTGCTTGTTTTACTTTCATTTTTATTTTAGTCCTTAATATATTGTTGAGTTATTTTGGTTCTAGTATTTGTTTTTAATGTTTTATATTTGGGTTCTGTTTTTTGTAATTGCTGTTTAGTCCTTTAGTTTCTTTTTGGCATTTTGGTCCTTTAACTTTCTGTTATTGATTTTAGTATTTTAAATTCCTGTTTTGCTGTTTAGCCCTTGAAGATTTGTTTACTGTTTTAGTTCCCAAAATTCTTTTTTTTTTATATTATTTGGTTTCTAAAGTTTCGATTGTATATTTTGGTTCTTTAATTTCCTGTTTTTGCAGTTTGGTCCCTAATATTTTTTTGTCATTTTAGCTCTTTTAATTTCCGTAATTTATTTTATGCCTTAATGATTTATTTTGGTATTTTAGTTTGGTTTGTAATATTTAGTTGTTTGCTTTTCAATCCTTATACATGTATAGTAAATGTTCTTATTTAATATTGAAATATTTTATGTGTCATTTGCGATCATTTGTTTCTATTTTATTTCCTTAGTTGTTAATTTCATTCAATATTTTTCAAGAACATGAATGTAGAACGGGCGTGGAAAGTATCACTGGATCGAGGTGGTACAATCCGATACGACGTTCAAGCTGAATAAATAAAAATGCAAATTTTCCTTTTACAAGTTATAGACATTATTTTTATTGTTATTTTATTTTTGATGTTCATATTGTTGATATTAAATTTTAATCTTTATTATATTTCTTCATTGAATCTTAATATGAGTGATGTATGTTTTGGAAAAATAAAATATGATGTATTTTATGTCAATTTTCGATTATTTAAAAAAAAAAAATATTCTTTACAGTAAGAAATAGACGAGGTAGCTTTCCCGGCGGAGGATTGCAAATCTCGGGATTTCTTTGAGAAAAGGATTTTTTCTATTTATTTATTTTAACTAATATTCATAAAAGATCATAATTTATTTATATTATATTTTTCATAATTTTTATTGTATTAATGGTTGTTATGTTAATATTAACGATACATAAATTAAACATATTTTATTTTCTACTCATGACGATGTTATTTAGTGGTAATTCAAAGATAGGATATACTTTATAGATAAGAAATAGATGAGATAGCTTTCCCGTTGGAGGATTGCAAATCTTGAGATTTCTTACCAAGTGAAGTATTTCTATTATTTTAACAAATATTCAATAAATAGATCATATTTTTTACTAAAGATTCGAAATTATAATTTCCGCCATTTACGACGATGTGTAAGCTACACAGTACCAATTTTGGGCGTGGTGGGGTGTTACCCTTCCCCACACGTAACCGACTCCCGAACCTGTTTTAAATGAATCTTTGGTAACGTAGACCAAAATTTTGTCTTAAAATTATTTTTCTTAAAATGTTTTTAAAAGACGTTTTTAGGTATTTGACCTACCTAATCCAAAGGTCGATGACGACTCGAGTCAATTTAATCCAAATTAATCCAAAATACTCAATTTTTCAAAATAAAAGTCATAATTGTTTTTTAAAAAAAATACTTAATTGTTTTAAAAAAAAATGGTTATGACACTATAATTGTACAAGCAGTTTCGGATGCATAATTTGCACTCCACCTAAAAACATCAGCAAGCAGCAACCAATCCCATTTTAACCAAAAAAAAAAAACCAAAGCCGATACTCAAATTATCATACTAAAACTTTCGCAAAAATGGGTGAAATTAGCTATAAAAGATAACACTGAAATCCCAATTGCCAAAGCTAACTCAAAAAACGAAAAGAAACACACCAAGACTCGGAGCCAGAAAACAAAATCCAAATGGAAGTCTCTGAGATTAAAACCAACATACAAAAAGTACCAAAAATGAAAGGTAAAAGATGATGGACAAGAAGACATACCAAAACTTAATTAGATTGCTTCTCTTGGAGTATAATTCCGTATGGGATTTGCTAAACCTTCATTTCTCCTAAGTTACAGCCAGAGGTCCAGAGAGTAAAATAGTAAGGGAAAAAAAGAAGAGCATTTAGTAATTGAGAACATCTTGGTATAATTAAAGATAAGGTAGTAGGCCATCCTTTTACTATTTACGTTAATATAAGTAATGAAATGACAATCATAATTGCTCAAGTTCACCATTGCAATTATCAATCCTTGGTTTATCCGGCAACATGCCAACTTGTTTTATCATCAAACTATGGTTTATTTTAGACGACGGAAGTTCAGATTTTGAAAACGATATTGTTAAAAAGAACAATTACAAATATCAAATATAAATTTTAATTATGGGAGCAATGTCCACCAGCAAATGAGTATGCTATTATAACATATATTAACATATGAATATTTATATCCTAGGAATCTGGGTGCATGTTTCAATCGAGGGCAAGTTCTTGTTTTTATGTGCTTATAAAATATCCATACAACTAGCAAGAGATGCAGAAGAATACTAGTGGTGAAATGATTTCAATTGTTAAGCCGAATGATTGAATAAAAAATGGGGGGCTTGAAGAGTGGATCCTTTGAATGATATAAGGTTTGGCCAAATAAAGATGGGAAAACAAAGTGGAGATGAATTCTAAAAATGGTGACGAGACTAAAAGATTGGGATGTATGGTTTTGCTTATACTACTTTGGCTACAATAATTTTTGTTTCTTGATTAATGACTATCAATGCAGTGTGGTAAGGTATATATAAGAAAATTCAAGTTTAAATATTAAATATAATATTATTAAGAAAAATAATCATTAATTTTTTAAAAGATAATTTATAAACCTTAAACGAACGTTAAAATGGCCCTTCTCTCTATTTTTTCTTCCCATAAACAATGATGCCAACTTGTTTTTATTTAATGTGCATGACTATGTTTAATTAACAATCTCAACCACAACCACAACCCAAATTTAGTGGAGTAGGGACGGGCTGCAGCCATGTCCATGGGGAACACAAAGCAAAATATAGAATCTTCCTCTTCCACTATAAAATATACCATTTGTGTCATTTTATCATGAAAACTTTTCTTTTTTATCTTTAAAGAAAATATTAATTCTCATAATATAATATATATTTATAAATACCATGTCCATGGGGAACACAAAGCAAAATATAGAATCTTCCTCTTCCACTATAAAATATACATTTGTGTCATTATATCATGAAAACTTTTTTTTATCTTTAAAGAAAATTTAATTCTCATAATATATATTATATTTATAAATATAATCTGGATAAATTGAAGGAGGCAGATGGTCTAGGACAATGAATCAAAAGATTTACAAAGGTCATTATATATATATAGATGGGAATGATATTCCCACTTTTCTTGTGAATATTTGACATTATTGTTAATGTATTATTATCAATTCGAAAAATACTTGCAAAGTGTTTTTTTTTGGGAAAATATAATTACTCTAATAATAAAAATTTAATATGAATAGGTTGAATTTAATTCTATTATAATTATCATTAATATATAACAAAAATGTAAAAATGTATTTTAATTTATTTAAAAAAAAAAATATTATGTGCATCAAATTTACTCTAATAATTCAATAGCATAATGTTTATTTATTTATTGCTAAAAATGTGATCACACGCATAGCATAATTATTTGTCGGAAACCGGAACTCAATTTCCAATTCAAAATTTATTTATTGTTTATTAATCTATATAGTTAATATTTGTTATAATTTTTTTTTAATTATTGACTATAAAAGTTTAAACACTCTTACAGTCTCTAGTGCTCGAACCTAAGACCTCTAGAAAATAATAATATTCCTTTAACTACTAACAAGTTTAATTCAAGCATATAATTTACTATGTTCAATAAATATTTGTTCATGTAATATAATATTTTTTAATATGGAAAATAATTGTTAAACAAAAATTGTATTTTTAACTAATCACTAATATTTATCTATTGTTCGACTAATTCGGATTGAATTTTGCAGAGATCCATCAGGAATAATTTTTATCCATTTCGATTCAATCTTTCATTTGTAACTTCATGATTTAAATTTTTAATTATGCTTAAAGAATTTAGTGTTCATCTCATTAGACTAATTAGTTATTGATTAAAAAAAAATAAAAATGCTCTATTGATTCATGTATCTATATCATTATTTTTCATTGGATGATTTTTTTAGTACAAAACACTGGCAAATGAAAATTGTATTGAATGTTCTTGAATCGACGTTTGGAAGTTCTATAGAGACCAAAAAATAAATATCAATAAGGTTTTTATTTGATATAAACAGCTATTTTTTTAAAAATGAAAAATTCATATTACAGTTAAGGTTTATAATTACAATCATAATTAAACAATAATAATTTTTTTTATAATCATATACAATAAATTAGTCACTTAAGGTCAAAAACAAAAATTATACAAGGAAAAAATTAAAAAAATTAACTAATAAATCGAATAAAGATATAAACATATCCCATCATATCAATAAAAGAACCACAAAAGGATCAACCATCCAATTGGTCCTCTAAACGAAAATCATTTTCATTTTGTATCTGCCTTT